TAGCGAAGCCATGGCCCATAGAAATAGATATAGATAGATGATTTCACATGATTTACGTGAATACGATGATTTTCCATAGCTATGGTAGATAACCGGGTACGTCCTGCAATGAGTCACTGTTGGTTTTGGTTCGTGGTTAGGAACTCTTGGAATTCTTGGCACCATGCTGACAATCGGCTTGAGGCTTCCCAGGAATCCAAACCATTTCAAAGCATCAAGAGAAGTCACCAGTGAAGCACTGGTTAAATTGGGTTAAGACAATTAGAGCCCCAAGATGGATCTTGAATGGATCTTATGACCAAACTGTGTCTGAGAATCCAATGGCCATAGATTTCAGCTCATATTCCGTAGGACATCATGTCGTGGGCTACACCCAAAGACTTGACCCATACCTGATCTGGCTGTGTTGCAGGAGCAGCAAAGGAAAGGGCAAAGGTCGCAAAGGTGGTGGAAAAGGTTCCAAGAAGGGCAAAGGCAAAGGGAAGGCCTGGAGAATTGAGACACTTTGAAGCTTTTGGATATCACTTGATGCAGCCAGGTTTGAGGTTGACTGCTGATCCCCGCAATGGTGGGACCCTGCGATCACGCAAGACTGGTATCATGCATGGTGATTTCACTCTATGAAGTTGTCCAAGACTTGGTTTCAAAGAAATTTTGCCCGAACACCTGGCTTATCATCATGTTTTTTCAATAAGACTCTTAAGTAAGTCTCCATTTCTAGGGCTCCTCTTTTGGTTTTCCATATTGTGTTTTTCTCGTCGCTTCACGTCGCACTCACTTCACGCAGGGCGAACCCCAAGCCAAGCCCGATGAGTGCCTGGTGGCTCGCGTCGCCAAGTGCCCGTGGTATCCGTTGGAAATTCGGCACCAAATTCGGCATCCTCAGCATCGTTGTGTTTTCATGCCAAGCTCCCTGCCAAGCTTTCGTCCCTTACCCCTGGGCCTCAAGTTTTGTAGGGAAAATCAGGATTAAAATGAGTGGATATCTCCCAGACAGGCAAGAATGATGATTCACATTGATTTTCCATGATTTTTTTGGAGTACTCGATTTCCAGCCTAACCCGTTCATGAGATTTGACTATATGTTTATCTGATTTTTTTACTCGTGCTTGCCCAGTGCTTGCCCATACCTATATATGTCTTGTGTGCGATTCGGCAGATTATAGCTACCTCATTGATTCGTAAGGGAAACTACCCCCCAAAACGGGTAAACACATCAGGTGTGGCATATATCTTATACAAAGAACCTCCAAAAAGATGTAGATTTTAAAGGTTCGATGTTTTTTTTTGCCACTATATGTATCTATATGTTAGGTTCGGATTTTACCAACAATCCACATCTTTCTGGGGGTTGCTAATGGTTGCTCTTGGTTGCCACCTTCCCTTCCAAAAGCTACGCGCCGTTTGAGGTACGCGCGTCCCACGAAAGGAACTCCCGAGGAGCTTAAGGTGAAGCACGATCGAAAGCGGAAGGGTCAGGCGACCTTGGGCGATTTGTCGATACAGGGGTCCACAACAAAAAGTAGATCACTTATATAGTCCCTGCTAAAGAAGGTATGTTGATATAGCATGATATAGCTTTGATGGTGATTTATGCCACTTTTTGATTTCTTTGGGGACCCTGGCAAAAAAGGTAAAGAAACCTGGGATCATTGTCGCACAGATCTGGGCAGCTTTCGGGAGCACTTTAAAAGACACCGCTTAATACAACCAACAAAAGTTGGTGATTTCACATCTAAACACACTTAGTCTCTAAGTATCTAAGAAGAAATACATGATGTCCATATTTACATCTACATTATAATCATCTTGGAATAGATATAATATGAGATGTTCAAAAATCACCAGCAAAATTAGAATATTATTTTTCATATTCTACTTCAGGATTACTATATACAGTAAATACATATTATACATGGGAAATCTATGGTTAACACTGCTTAACATCTATCTTTCATAACGGTTTCTACCTCCAAAATGGATCAGCGCCAGGCGAAGCTCAATCAGCGCCTGGACCGTGAAGCTGCCTTTCGCGCCGCGAAGGCGGAGGCAACGCATGGCAACGCGGCAACGGACGGGATTTGGTGTCCTTGGGATTTGGACTTTGTCAGTGCTTAGAAATGAGGATCCGATGAGGATCCGATGAGGATTGATGATGATTGGTGATGATTGATGGTTAAATTGAGAAGAATACAGTATTTTTTAAAAAATGTAATCATGGTTTCATACGGTTACTACTGTACTGTTACCAGCTTGTGGCTATATCGTCCTGGGATCATCCGACCCAAACCGGATCCTGGACTTTACCAACGTGGCCGGGCCCTATTCTCATCGTTTAGTTCGACGATTTACCTATTTCAATGGTGATTGTTGATGATTTTGCATAGCAACCCGTTGGCTAACCTCAGGGTACATTCACAACAACAAGAGTGGTTCATGTTCTCATCATGTTCTGTATCATAAATCCGAGTTATAGGAGTTATGTTCACCACCTTAGCTAACAATGGGGCACCACCTTGTACTCATTCTCATCATTTTCTGTTGTATTTCGTTTTATCTGGACGGCAGAGCCGGGCTTTTTTTTTTTAAACGGAGGAGGCGGAGGACAGCAACCGGCACCAAAATTTGGTGACTTCACTGGAGACTTCTGGGGTAAAAAGATGCGCCAAGTTGTGTAAGTTTTAGCAATATACAATATATATGTAATGTATATGTATATATATATATATATCGATACATGTGGAGATAGAGATAGATATCGATATATACATAGATATATACAGAAAGAGATAGAGATGAAGACAGATGGATACAGATAGAGACAGACAGATATAGATAAGGATAGAGATAGAGATAGATTTAGAGATATAGATAGAGATATAGAGAGATAGAGATAGATATATATAGAGAGATAGATAGAGAGATAGAGAGAGAGAGATAAAGAGAGATATAGAGAGAGAGAGATAGATAGATAGATAGATAGGATAAGATAAGATAAGATAAGATAAGAATAGAATAGAATAGATTCGATTAGATTAGATTAGAATAGATTAGATAGATAGAACGATAGAACGATAGAACGATAGATGGATAGATGGATGGATGGATTGGTGGATGGATGGATGGATGGATGGATGGATGGATAGAGAAATAGAGAAATAGAGAAACAGAGAAACAGAGAAATAGAGATAGCGAAGCGATAGAGAGAGCGATCGAGATAGAGATAGAGAGAGAGAGAGAGAAATAGCGGTAGAGATAGAGAGAGAGAGAGGGGGAGAGAGAGAGAGAGAGAGATAGAGAGATAGAGAGAGAGAGAGAGATAGAGCTAGAGATAGAGATAGAGATAGAGAGATAGGTAGATAGAAAGAACGGTAGAATCATAGAAAAGGAAAAGAAGAAAAACACGACAAGAAAAGTAAAGATAAAGACAACGATAAATATATAGATCAACAGACAGAGAAGAATCAGAAAAAGGATGAAAAAGGGGTCGAAAAAGAGCATCCAGAAGCACGTTCCGTGAAAACACATGGCTATCACATGGCTTGTAGCTAGATGAATAGACAGCAAGAAGTTGAATAAACATCAAAAACATCGACCGGAGTCGGTGGACATGTTTTTTTTTTGTTTTGAAGAATCATTGAGTAAGTACTTTGTATGATTTGTATGTATATAAAATACCGCTGATAATTTTTGATGGACAAAACTACCAGTTACCTCTGTTTGTTTGACTTGTAACCCAGGTTAGAGACTTATCAAATCGATTTTTTTAGAGGCAAGGAAACACCATTTGTATCACTCGGTCTACCTGCTGGTTGAGATGGGTTTGATGAAAAATTCAGAGATTCACCAGCCCTGACCGACAATAAGCGACCAATTCAATGCGACTAGATATGGATAGTTTATCCAATCATCCAGCCCTATGATATTCGCTCAAGATGATCCAATTCCAACAAAGAACTGACATCGCTTTCAATGATGGATGATATGAGTAAGCGATTTAGGAAATGGAATGGACCAATTTGAAATTGATCTCCCAGTAACGTAACTTTGTACATCTTCGTACATCTTTGTACATCTTTGTGGACCTCAAATCGGCGGAACTCCATGCTTTGGGAAATTCTTTTGGTCAGGTCTCGAAAATCAGCCAGTTTCGAGGTGGAACTGGTGGAACTGGTGGATCCTGCATCTTGGCCGGTGGGTCAACGGGGATCAAAGGAAAATATCGTGAAGTGATGTGAAGGGCTAAAACAAAGCGTGAGTCTTTTGACGGTTTTCCTAGAAAATTCTTGATCTGTTGTGGTTCACGACCTCATGTGATGGGGCGTTTTGGACTGGCAGCTGGTTGATGTGATGTGTGTTGTGTGGGGATTTGTGTGAGCTGCAACTTGCTGCAACCCCATCGGGACTCAGGCATAAACCATGCCTTGGTCTGAGGAACGAGGATGATGGATTTTGTGATCTGTGTTGATTCAAAATCTTCCTCGTCAGGTTCTTGTTACTGCCATCGATCCAAGAAGCAGCCGAAGACTACGCCGTGAACGGCGCCGGGAATTCGAAACCGCTGGGTGGACGCAGTTCTTTTTTTTAACTCCCACCATGCACAGTCAGGAAACTCGAGCACTAGGTCCGGGGATACCCTGTTGCATATCCCGACCTCAGTGCTGTTTTGCAAAACTGGCTGAAAAACAACGGGCAAACATATTGCTGCTATTGCTATAGATTTCTAACTTGATGAAGTTGGAACTCTTGAAGATCTTCAATTGCCGTGTTTTTGCTTTTTGTTCAGTTTGTCTTCCTACTCATTTTAAACATGTTTGGCAAAAACACCAGTCAGTATGTGATTTTTTTATTGCTGGTCGTTACTGCCTTTTCCTACTTCCATCTTTGACTTTCGAATTCATTATTGTGTAGTTGTCACTTTGCAGCATTCTTGTTGGTTGCTCAAAGGTTGACTGAGGGCATTGCTGGTTTTCTTGTTCAAGCTTTCGACATTGTGACCTCGTGTGGAGCCATGCCGCTTTGCCGCTCGCGCCATGTGACACCATTGGCGCGCCATGCGAAGCATTTGCAGGCTGAACCACATGCGGAGGCTGCAATGCCTTTCCCCATGTATACAGTGCCCTTGCAGCAAGCACTCGAGATGACATGTGTTGAACCGCATGAAAAGCTGAAGGCAAAGGGTTTGCTGGTTGAATTTGAGAAAAACTGTGGGAAGGCAATGTTCCTCTCACACGAGTGGACAGGGAAGGACCATCCAGATCCCACTTTCGCGCAATTTAGTGTGTTCCAGGATGCCATGAAGCACATTTTATTGGGCCGCTTTATTGAGTTAGATTATGTCACAGAGGCGCTTGTGCCACAATCCAAGCCCCTGCCAACTCGAGAATTTCGATCTGCGCAGTTGTTTCTCTGGTACGATTACTTTTCATGCCCACAGCTGAAAGAGCTGCACAATGACCAGGTCAAAGCGATTGCCAGCATCCATGCATATGTCGCAGAGTGTTCTTTCTTTTTTGCGCTTTGCCCTTTCCTGCAAGATCCTGTCACATCCAAAGTGCTTTGTCCGTCGAGCTGGGAGGAGAGAGGTTGGTGTAGGTTAGAAAGGACGATGCGGGAGCTTTCTGAAGGCTCATGGGTCTTGATCAAGAGCGCGGAACGCGTAGAACTGGTGGTGGCGTCCAGGGCTCTCGGCTGCCCAACAGGCGAAGGAGATTTTACTGTGGCGGCTGATAGGGTCAAACTTGGCCCTATCCTTGCAGCGGCACTCAAGGGCAAAATGAAGCGTGCTTTGACTAGAAGTGATTTTGTGACATACCGTGTAGTGCGGAACCTGCAGAGTGTTTATTTGCGGGGTCTTGAAACCCAGCCCGAGCTAGATGTCGTGCCGGGGTGGAGCTGCAATGCAGATGGTCCAGTTTCAATTGTGGAACAGTTTTTCTACCAGAATGGCTTGTGGAACATCCATGAAGTAGACAGTGCTGGCTTTCTGCCTTTGCACTATGCGGCTTTGGGTGGCAAACCACAGGTGATCAAAGCCATGTTGGAGTTACGGGCAGACTTCTCAAGGACCACACGGAAAGCACAACCCTTGCTGGGAATACCTCCATGGACGTCAGCCCTTGGGCTGGCACTGGCGTGTGGCCACAACGATGCTGCCCAAATTCTGATTAAAGCAAAAGCCAAGGTGCAGGAGACTGGTGTACTATCACCTGCATTGCATGTGGCTGCTGCGAGCAACAATGTGGAAGGCATCCGTCTTCTCGTGGAAGCTGGTTGTGACCCCATCACCAACCACACCATTTTTGGTTTTTCAGGAGCAGTTTTTGCGTGTGATCTCGTTGCACCAGCTGCCTTGGAGGAACTGCTGATCCGGTATGGCGTCAGCATCTCAGGGCTCCTGCATGCAACTGCTGAGTCCAGCCGAGGGGGCTCGGGTGCAGTCGCCCGCCGACTTATCGAGCTGAAGGCTGACATAGATGAGCAGTGCCAGGTTCAATGGCTGACACCTTTGGGAGCCTTGGTGGCCCTCCAATCCCTTCGCTATCGATGGACTGACACAGCTCTGACGCGACGCTTGTATCACCTTCCTGGCTCAACGCCTTTAATGATGGCCATCCTCTCAGGAAACTACGAAATTGCCATGACCCTGCTCCGTGAAGGAGCTCGAGTGGATCTGCGCAATGCGCGGAACGTCTCGGCCGCAGATCTGGCAGAAGGTGCCCCACAGCTTCTCCAAGAGATCCTGACGGGCGACTCCATTTTCTGCCGCGTGTGACATCGTGTGACAGGAGCCTTCCCAGCCTTGCAAATTAGGCTTTCGTCGGATCAAAACCGAGCGTTTTAGCGTGCAAAAAACGTCTCATATTGTGGGGTTGAACATCAGAACAACCAGCTATTCAAGGATGTTCAATGTTCATCAAGGATTCCATGGTTTTTATAGGTTTTTGACCCCATCTCAAAGATTCTCAAAGTGTCTCCAAAGTTTCTCCCACGTCTGTTGTACAGCCGCTGAGGAACCGCGTCAGAGTGACTGAAGTGCCAACTGGTTTGCGCAGAATCAGTGTGTTGCAGCTTTCATACTTATTTTTGAAACATTTGTTTGAACTTCTGTTTGCCTCCAATCAGCGTTGTCAAGTGCTGGGGACTTACTTACACAGACTGCCCTTGATGATTTCTTTCCGCATCATTTTGGCTGAGATTTGTACAGTAGCCCTTCGGAATGCCACCACCCAGTTTTTGGGGCCACTATGGCAGTGCCACCCGAAACCCTTGGGGCCCGGTCTCCATCTCTCAGGGAGCGTCCATCGCCATGTGAATTTGTGACTGTCGACGCGGGGCCTAGCGTCCCGTGAAGATGGTTGGCAGTTTTTTGTTTTTGATTTTTTTGAGGTGCTCATGTTTTCTCATACATTTCTCAGTATTCCCTTGCATACATGGATTTTTTCGTGGGTTTATCAGCGATGCTGATCTGGATGGGGTGAAGTCATGTGAAGTCCCTGGAGGGCAAACTCCACATGGCTTTGTCTGAACATGGGGTACTTGTCCAATTCCTATGGTTCCTCATCATTTTCGGAATCGACATAGCCATAACTTCGGTTGTAACACATTGACAAATCCACATGTTTCCTGGTTTTTCCATGGTTTTTCCAGCTCTTTCTCTGAAACAGGCTGGAAATTCCCAGATGAAAGCCTTGTTGCTGATTTCCAGTGGTGTCTTTTGTGCATTCTCCATTTGGTTTGTGGCATCAGCCGTGCTTCAACCCTTGAAGGTGGGTGACCATGGGGACCCATCTTGGGGGATTCCCAGTTTCGGACGGATGACCATATCCCAGCAATCCCATTTTTTGACGATGGCCAATGGCTGTTGCTTGGAAATACAACCCGCGACAACATCGACTTCTGGGATATCTGGGATACTACCACTAGGCTTAAGTCCTATCAATCGACCTGAAGTCGTATCACACCTGCGTGCGCGCAGTGTTTCGTATAGATTTTGATAGTTCTTTATTTGATGGGTTATTGATTCGAACACTTTTTCATCGCTGTGCGCAATGTTTTGTTGACATGATTCTTTTTGACCCTACTAGCCCTAGCGTTAAGTCGTATCAGCTCGTAGAAGTTGTATCGGGAGGCCGTGCGCCTGGAAAAAGTTCAAGTTTGGCATCACCACAACTTTTAGTAATTGGACGATTTCATTGTTTTGGGGCCGTGCGCCTAGAAAAAGTTCAATTTTTGTATTGCGTTGATTTATAAAACTTATATTATATTTCATTATTCTTTCAACGGGGCAAACGCTGGTTGCTGCTTTCTGCTTGCTTTCTGCTTGCTTTCTGCTTGCTTTCTGCTTGCTTTCTGCTTGCTTGCTGCTTGCTTGCTGCTCCTTGCTGCTGCCTCCTGCTGCTGCTGCTGTTGCTGCTGCTGTTGCTGCTGCTGTTGCTGCTGTTGCTGCTGCCTCCTGCTGCTGTTGCTGCTGCCTCCTGCTGCTGCTGCGGCTGCGGCTTCCTTCTGCTGCTGCTGCTGCTGCCTCCTGCTGCTGCCTCCTGCTGCTGCCTCCTGCTGCTGCCTCCTGCTGCTGCTGCTGCTGCTGCCTCCTGCTGCTGCTGCTGCTTCCGCCTGCTGCTTCCGCCTGCTGCTGCTGCTGCTTCCGCCTGCTGCTTCCGCCTGCTGCTGCTGCTGCTTCCTCCTGCTGCTGCTGCTGCTGCTGCCTCCTGCTGCTGCTGCTGCTGCCTCCTGCTGCTGCCTCCTGCTGCTGCCTCCTGCTGCTGCCTCCTGCTGCTGCTGCTGCTGCTTCCGCCTGCTGCTGCTGCTGCTGCTTCCTCCTGCTGCTGCTGCTGCCTCCTGCTGCTGCTGCTGCTGCCTCCTGCTGCTGCTGCTTCCTCCTCCTCCTGCTGCTGCTTCCTCCTCCTTCCTCCTCCTGCTGCTGCTGCTGCTTCCTCCTGCTGCTGCTGCTGCCGCTGGTGCAAACATTTTGCCGAAAAAGAAAATTACAGTCTCGGTCGCCTTGTTTGGCGCTGGCGGGAGATACGTGCGGGAGACGCCAGCAGAGAGAGGGAATGTTTACAGAAGGCAGAACTTATGAAACATTCAAGCGGAAGCGGATGTTGACAGCGGTGTGCCACTGGGTTTTCTGATTTTAACGTTGTTGATATGATGATGTTGCCCATAGCTATTACATGGACATCTATGTTTGTTAGGAAACAAAGTCAAAGATCTGGGAGGCCGTGTGCCATGGTGATTCCTAAATATATCCTTTGAAAACATAGTTTAAACATATGTGAATACCTCAGTGTGCGCAATGTTTTCTTCATTTTTGGAGATATAACAACATTCCTTGAAAGCCGGTGTGCCATTGGGATTTTGATATTTTGATGTGACTTTTGCCCAGTTGATGTGACTTTCTTCCAACTCGCTGTTACATGGGGTTGATGTGACTTCTGCCCAACTGATGTGACTTAAACCCTTCGCTAGTATCTGGGATATCTGGGATATCTGGGATATCTGGGATCAGTTCCGGCGGTGCCTGGGCCTTTCTTCCAGGTGGACTCGGTGGATAGTTTGTGTTTGGACAAGGCAGTGGTTGAGGTGTCTCAGATGTCTAACCGGATAACCGAGCTCCAGGTGGAGTGGGGATTTTCGGATGTAGAGGGGAGCTTCCTGACTTCGGTGGTGAATCTGGGCTTTTGCTGCTCGACTTCGGTTTGTTTTACTGTTGGCCCAGCGGAGGGTGAATGTTTTGAGGTGAACCTCGAAGGGTTTTGTTTGGCACAACACAAGCCAAGCTGTTTGCACACAGATTTTCTGCAACTGGCGCTAGGATTGAGAGATATTGAGAGCCTCAAACAAGATCAAGACTGACAGAAACTATATCAAACTATTCTTGGAGGTCTGATTTTGTCTCATTGGCCCTAAAGGCTCCCTGCCCACGCTCTGCTTTAGTGAGGTTTTGTGGGGCTAAAATGCAATTTCTTCATGTCAAATGTGGGTCAGAAAATTGGGTGCAGCTCAAATCCACTTGTTCAATATCACATATTCCATTAAGAAATTGCATTTTTTTGGGGGAGCTTTCAAATTTTCAGAAAAACATAGTTACTCCCCAAAACAGGTTATTCTTTAGTGATCAAATCTCTAGTTTGAGGCTTAGATCCTCATGTTTCGCCATTTTTGATTGTGAAATCCCAATTGTTTATTGCTGAACCATGCTGAACCACCATTTTTGATTGCTAGATCAAATAGATCCATATTTTTCATGGTGAAATCCCCCATTTGGTGGTTCGGGTTGTCTCGGGTTGTCAGGTTTTGGCTGTTTCTTCTCTGCCCTTCTGAACTTGGCGGACGTCTTCTCGGCTCCCGCGTTGATTTTGGTCGGTGGCCTAAGCGCAGCGGTGGCCAACGCCAGTCTGCTGCTGGTCAGAGGATTTTGGGGCGCCCTGCTGATGAGATGTCTGGTGGGGCTAGGCTTATCCTTGGTATATCCTCCATCGGTGAAGCTGCTGAGCACCTGGTATTCAGCTGACAAGCGCAGCGCGGCCATGGGGTTTATGTTTTCGTTCTTTTGTATAGGCACGGTGCTTTGGTTCTGGGGAACACCATGCCGCTCTGTTGCTCTGTTGCTCTGTTGCTCTGTTGAAACGCCTTTGAAGATCACAGTCCTGTGTACTTTTTGCAGTGTTCCAGGAAATCTCCGAGCATGTGCCAGCATTGAAATTTGGAAAGACTCACTCTATTCTCATTGTAGAAAACCATGAGATCGGTTCCTCCAAGTCAAAAATTCATCAAACATGACCAACAAATTTCATCAAATACACATAGTTTCATGAATTTTCTGGGGATGTTTTTCCAAACATAATCTTTTTCATTGCTGTACTTTAGAACATTTTTGGTTTAAGTTTAACCTCCCAAAGAACCAGCATTTTTTGACACGGAGCGGATAGGCTCCGCCTTCCCTCAGCTGCTGAATGCGTTGGCCACGGGCTACTCCTGGCGTTTGATCGTTGGGCTTTCGTCACTGCTTGGAGCAGTGGCCAGCAGCATGACCTATGCCTTTGTGGAGACAGGTGTCTGGTGACAAGAGATGTGGGGGCCGATGTGGGAATATGAAGGATCAAACATTGGGATATATGGATGGATAATGATGAATATCTATTTGTGAAATTTTGTGAATGTAGTATCTATCCACCCATCTATCCGATTCTATCTAAAGGTAGGTTCCCTGGGTGTGCAGTTCCAGTAACATGATATAAAATGTGTATATTCATTATATATTTATTATATCCTAAGGCTATTCATATTCTATGAACATCCCATGTGAACTATCCCGTGAACGAATCCCCATGAGGTCGCCATTTTGTTTCGTGGGTCGCCAGGCCCTTACCCCTTTCCGCGCGGTGGCTTCGATGCCAAAGCGGCCTATCGCCTCTGTCGGAACCGGAACGTGGCCCTGTCCATTGTGGCGTATTGTGGGCATCAGTGGGCACCTGGGATGAGTGGTTACCCTCTGGTTATGTCAAAATAGCTATTGAAAATGGTGATTTATAGTGGTTAATAGTGGTTAATAATGGATAATAGTGGTTAAACATTAGTATATAAAAGTGGTTAATAATGATTAATCATGGTTAATAGTGGATAATAAGTGTTAATGGCTGGATTACCTCTGGTAAACTAACAGTTAATGGGATTATTAATGGGATATCCTCTGGTAAACATACAAAAAGCTATTGAAAATGGCCATAGAAATCGTGGATTTTCCCATGAATAGCATGGTGATTTTCAATAGCTATGTTAAATTACCAGAGGGGTAAGCACCACAAGAGACCGGGCAGTCAAAACTGGGTACCTCTATGGATGATGGATGATGATTTTGAAGGAAAACTCTTGAGTTTTCGAGTTGGAAATGGGGAGTGATCAACCAGGAAATGTTGGACTTTGAGACATCCCGTCAGTATGCCACCTGGGTCCGTAAGTGTCTTGCTCGTGATGTCCAAATAATTATTTAAATTGTTGCTGGTGTTGTTGTCTTTAAGGTCAGCGACTACTGATTCTGACTATGTGCTATGTGTAGATATATCAATATACATGTATACATATATATATATATATATGTATACATACGCCAGAATACTTTGGAACTTTGCACGGCTTGACCCAAATCGGGGCATTTACGTATGAATCATGTACATGCATACGTACACATGTACACTGATGTACACATGTATACATTGACGGATCTACATGTGAACATGTGCACATGTGCAAGTATGTACATGTGTACATATCTACACATATGTACATGGATATATTATTCCCCACCTGCCAGGTGAGGGTTGTTAGATTTTATGTCAGTTGCCTGCTCCTCCTCTCCTCTCCTCTCCTCCTCCTCCTCCTGCTCAACCGCGACCCTCGACGCACAGTGTTCTCTGTCGGACCTCAACCACGACCATCCACGCCCAGTGTTCCCTGCCGGACCTCAACCACGACCATCCCCGCCCAGTGTTCCCTGCCGGACCTCAACCACGACCATCCACGCCCAGTGTTCCCTGCCGGACCTCAACCGCGAGTATCCACGCCAAGTGTTCCCTGCCGGACCTCAACCTGGGACCTTCCCAGCTCAGTGTGCACCGCTGGACCTCAACCTGGGACCTTCCCAGCTCAGTGTGCAACGCTGGACCTCAACGGCCAGATAGAATGCCAGAAGATATGCCAGATAGAGTGTCAGAAGATATGCCAGATAGAATGCCAGAAGATATGCCAGATAGAATGTCAGATAGAGTGCCAGAAGATATGCCAGATAGAATGCCAGAAGGTATGCCAGATAGAATGCCAGATAAAATGTCAGATAGAATGCCAGAAGATATGCCAGATAAAGTGCCAGAATGTTTGCCAGATAGAATGCCAGAAGATTTTCCAGATAATATGCCAGAAGATATGCCAGATAGAATGCCAGATAGAATGCCGGAAGATATGCCAGAACATATGCCAGGTAGAATGCCAGAAGATATGCCAGATAGCATGCCAGATAGAATGCCAGAAGGTATGCCAGATAAAGTGCCAGAATGTTTGCCAGATAGAATGCCAGAAGATATGCCAGATAATATGCCAGAAGATATGCCAGATAGAATGCCAGAAAGAATGCCAGAAGATATGCCAGAACATATGCCAGAAGATATGCCAGGTAGAATGCCAGAAGATATGCCAGATAGAATGCCAGAAGATATGCCAGATAGAATGCCAGAAGGTATGCCAGAAGGTATGCCAGATAGAATGCCAGATAAAATGTCAGATAGAATGCCAGAAGATTTGCCAGTAACAAAATGTATAAATCTCATGGTGGGGATCACACGAAGTAAAGTAATTTTGTACATATCCTTTGTATATATAGCAGATATAACTATATGATATAGATATAGATATAGATGAGCATTGGTTTGTCCCAAACATCCAGATTCAGAGGAACTCTTCTGTGTTTGGGCCTGGTCTGCAGAGTTCTTTGAACACATCTGGGGCACGTCGCAGCAATCTGCGCACATGTGGGCCTTTGTGATCCTTGGACTTCGGAGCAGTTTGGCACTATGAATCAATGGGTGTTTTGTTGGCAAGGTCCAACCGGGAAAACCGGCAGGCGGCTTGAATCAACATAACATCAATCTGAACATGGATTAAGCACAGAAAAAAGAACGTGAGATAGAAACTAGCATATATCAGAACATTGGCTAACAGCATCTAACATATATAATCAATTATAATCATATATATATGTGATAGATGATGAATCAGGGCAAGTCTATTTTATCATTTTTAGCCACGGAGGAAATGTCATTTTGCAAACAACGGGGGCCCCTCTCAGGACTCCTGACTTCTTTTCTTCCAGAGTTAGTGGAACATATGGGAGGGGATGTACAGGTGGTCAGCAAAAAAATACGATGAGTGTTTTTTTTTTGTTGCACTCCTGCAATGTGAGGCCCCCGTTCGATATGTGAACGTCGGTTTAGATTCGCCCCAGTAACTAGTTGGTTATAAATACCATAAACCATAGTGACATTGGAGTTATGTGAACCCCAACTTAGCTATCGAACAGGGGCCTCACATTGTGTAGACGGGGAGATTCGTCAAATCAGTTAGATGATCCCAGCCATGTTGCACCTCCATGGAGGTGGGCACCTTTTGCACCTTAAACCCAAACCGATTTCGGATGTGTCGAGCATCGCTATCCAAAAGCCCCCACGATCGGTTTGTTTGGCTGCCATGGGTACCCAGTGGTTGGCTTCTTTCACAACCAATCGGTAAAGGATGGACAACCAATATCTTGGTGAAACGACACCACGATTACTGTAAACCTGGCAAAATGCATTTCTATCCGCATCAAAATGATTGGCAAATGTACACAGTTCACAGCAATGGTCATATTCCCCACCCCATGAACATTTGGTCATAATTAACTTGGTAAATCAGTGAGATCAATCCCACAACATATCCCATGTGGGAGCTATATGTTCCCCCAAACAGGTGGTTGGTCCCGTTCCCATTTTCCACCGACGACTGAGGATTATTTCAATGGGTGGCCCCGGCAGTTGGCTGGGAGGACTTCTGGGTGACCGATACGGTCGTGCGATGTCGGCACTGCTGATGGTGAGTGTCAGCGGTCTCTGCACACTGGTGCTGGGAGTTTTGGAGAATCACTGGCCCTTTGCAACTTTGCCAAAAACAGCATGGAAACGTTGTTGTTGTTGTTGTTGTTGTTGTGGTTGTGGTTGTTGTTGTTGTTGTGGTTGTTGTTGTTGTTGTTGTTGTGGTTGTGGTTGTTGTTGTTGTTGCTGTGGGTGTGGTTGTTGTTGTTGTTGTGGTTGTTGTTGTTGTTGTTGACATTCTAACTTGTTTTAACCATGAAACACTGGGATTGAATGGGATATTGATGGGGATACAATGGGATATAGAACCAACTATATCCAATTTGGGTATGTCTGAAAGACTTTGGGAAACATATGAAGACAGACTCTTGAATTCTTGGTGCAAGGATTCATTTTTGGGAAGAATGTTTGCAGCTATTGTTTGCATAATTAGTATTTTTTCGCAGTTGAGTACATAGCAGTAACAGTACATTACTATATTACCATTATTATTGGTTTCACAACCGAATACTATATATATATAGTATCATGGATATCTTTCCCAAAGTTGCTATGCTTTCATATCCCTGTATTCTACCGCAACTACAGCGAAATGCAGCGAACATTTTGGTTCAACGTGATCACTGGACAAAGAAATGGTCCTGTGATTCTGGTCAACAGCACTGTGCAATTGGGCGCTGATATGCTTTGGTTTGGTGTGTTCATCCAGGGTGGCCAGGGGTTTTTATTTCTGTGAGATCCCCCTGTTTGTTGCACCAAACTAACTGCCCAACTGCCCATCCCAACATCAGCTCCGTGGCAATCATCGAAAACCTCCACGAAGTTGTTACAACCAGGTTTTCGTCCGGGGAAATCATCGAAGAGTTGCTGGGGAAAAAACCGCATCCCACGGCATCCCAGATTGGGTTTCCTGCTGGGATTTCTGAGCCCATGGAAACAGCACCGGATTGGAACCTGGCAAAGATAACAATACACTGAAGAAAAACATGTAGCCTTTCTTCGTTTCTTTAGTCGAAGAGATTCAGGAAGCTTCAGCATGGTTTTTTTCACATGGAATCCAACAAGATGATCTTCCAGAGACCCATGTTTGGTCTCCTTTCGATGATCTCATTTGGGGGTTGGACATTTCTTTTCCTTTTTGGTGTGTTTGAAAATGGTTAGGGTGTCCCAAAATGAAAATGGATGGTTTATAGTGGAAACTCCCAATCTAAAATAGATGAGAACTGGTGGTACCCCCATGACTTCGGAAACCTCTGGTTGGGATTAACAAGGAACCTCCCGAGTTGTCGGAAAAATATATGATAAACCAGCGTTTTCTGTTTCTTTTGATCGTTGTTTGGATACAGCAACATACGTTGCGGGTGTCAATACCTCCGAAAAAGTGCGAACGGGGTACTGGGACAATCGCCTGACATGATCCCTGCTTCTTGACTCTTTTTTGTCATGTCCCATTGTCCCAGCTACCGTAATTAAAATTTCATATCCAGTTTCTGAATTCCTCGGATCGTTCAAGTTCCATCGTGGCGAGATTTCTGTGCAACTGGTGAATGGTAGGTTCTAGTACCGGCCAAAAATACACTTTTTCAGAGCATCCAAGGTTCGTTGTGATTTACGACACTAATGGTCCCGTGATTTGTGAGTTCATGATTTCCGCTTCCAGGCCAGATGCTGTGTCACTCCAACTGTATTTTCCTTCGCCATGAATGGGACGTCCATGTTGAAATGGTATCAGTTGGGGTTGCGAACACGTCAGATGGGGTAAGTCGAGGAAGTTCATGTTCCGAGGCATTGATGGTTTTGCCTGTCACACCTGTCACACCTTTCACCATGTTCCACGACAAAATAGCTCTTCATCTCTAGATGAGTTTCATTGATTTTCCCACAACAAGAGACCTACCATTGCTAGGTTCCTGATTTGCGGTCAAAAAACCAGCAAGATCAGTGGCCAAGGCAACGCATTCAGAGTCACTCCATGGTTAAGCTGCCATTTGTGGTGGGTTTATAACCACCTGGATGTGACATCTTCCCATTGGCCGATTAGTTTGTTGCATTTCACAACATGGAGCATGTTGTTTGGTGTGCCGCGTGCCCAAACATGAGACAATCCCAGGTGCTGCAACCTTGACGCAGCCATTCCAATGCGATTTGCAACCCGAGTTGCAAAACACAATAGCACTTCAACGCGTCACGTTGCCACACCTCAGCAAGATACGATGAAGAGACGAGGTAGCGGGCGCCGGGATTTCCCTTTTCTTGTTTGTTGATGTTTTTCGATCAAACATTTTTGCCGCGTGGATATGGCTCAGACTTAGGGAAGACAACGAGTGGGATGACTCATGATTTTTAAATGCTTAACATGACGAACCCATCAAGTCAAATCTTGCTCGAACCGGGCCGCGCTATGCTTTATCTGTCGGCGTCACTATGAGTCGGCGCCTAGTTGCTTTGGGCACGCCCAAGACTAAGGTTGCACAGCTCACACGCCAATCTAAGTTCATGTAACTGCAAGATGGAGCCCTTCTTGCCAATTGTGCGTTTGCGCACGCAACCGCGAGGAAGACTTTCATACTGTTGGACGATGGTCATCAAAGCAAACATTGACATTTTCAATGGGTGCCAGGCATTTTTGTTGTTGGACATTGCATCTTTGTTCGTTAGCGTGTGTATCAGCTGGTTCAACCTGTTTTCATCCAAATTTTGTGTTCTTACCGGATCGCCGACTTGCTTCCAAAACAATGAAACCTGAAGCGCCCATGATTGGGGCAAACACTTAATTCAGTGAACCCTATTTTTGGTTGGTCTAAATCAATAGTTTGTTTGTGCATGCTGTGAACATATTTGGTGGGAATTATGTAACTTAAATTTATTTTGTTTCCCGTATGTTCTTCCATCAGGTCACGTGTTTGAACCAATCCAACGATCTTTTTGTTGGTCCATCATGTTTGTGTAACAGTACACATCATACATTTTCTGGTTGTTTTTTCAACGACATGGGTTTTGTAAAAATTGGACACCCTAAGTTTACGGATAAATCGCTATGATATCAACACAATGTCTCAGTATTTGTTTTTTTTGCTTGTTTATACTTTGCAGAGATGTAAATCCCTTGAATCCATTGGTTAATCATTATTAATTATTTTCCATATTTAAACTGCCATAAATTGGGTTAAACTCTCCCCAACCCCAGGCCATTTGGATATGCATCTGCCTGCTGTGGGGTCTCACCGCGTTAGCTGATTCGCCCAACTACTCCGCGCTGGTGATCCTCCATGCTGAGCAAAGCAACGTGGGGACAGCTGTCTCGGTGCCATGGTGGAGCGCTGCGGGGGACATGGGCCATCATACTGTATATGGGGGGGTTTAACCATCATTTATATGGCTATGGATCAATACCTATTAATACCATTTTTATGGGGATGAACATCCATTTACCAGCTATTTTGATGTTCACCAGGGGTACAGGGTTTTGACACACTGCCATATGGATTTAAAACCTTTTTCCTTTCCTGATGCTGCAGTAAATGCTTGGCACATGGATTTTAAACCATGAATATTGAACCAAATGAGGATACACTTGATACATGATGATTAGTTATGATTAGGGTGGGATTATAACCGATTATTGGGGAATATCGCAATTTGTGAACTGGGGATCCCATTCTCAACCAACACAAAGGGACGACACAAAGTTGAACATTGCTCAAATGATGGGGATCTTTGGCTAGACAAACATCAAAACAATTGAAGTTTGTGGATGTTTATCACCCCCAACATCTGGCACTATAGATCTGACCTATATCCATTTGATGGACATCTAAAATTGCATTGAGGTCGCAAAACGCGCGGTATTTGGAATTCGAAAAAGCAGCGGCTTGCAGCCACTCGAGTGGCTGCAAGTGTCTGGAAATCGTAGATTTACCAACTTTTTGTGGTCATGTTTGAAATTTTAAACATTTGAAAACATAAAATTGAGGGGTACCTTATTCTCAAACGAACCAACATACTTTTTAAATTTGAAACAGCGACCATTTTGGATATTTGGACAAATTCATATTTAAACAAAAACGTGGGCTGTTTGGCAAGATTTACATGCTCAGCAAAACCACCAAAAGACAGCTGTTTCCAAGATTTACGGAAGAGAGATTGGACTTGGGTTCGTCAGAAAATTGGGGGACGGGTCGCAATTTTTGTTTTTTTTAAATAAGTGATTTATGATCAAAAATGGGATTCATGGGTGACATATTTTCGGACAGACCTAAAGGATTTGTTTTGGGCCAAATTTATTCAACAAAATATTGATTTTGGTAATTGCACTTGATATTTCACATGGTCTTGACGTCAACAAGAGTGAAATATGGGAGATGACAATAGATAACCAAATTTATCGTTATTTTTTTATGGGATGATAACATCTTTTCAATGGATGTAATAACAATGGGATAACATTTTTTTTGTGGTCACCACGGGCCCACGGGTCTATACTTTTTGACATTCTCACTGGAGAAACATGAAAACCAGAGGCTAACTATAGTTATAGTAGCCATAAACCATTATCAAACATTAAGCATACATATTTTACTACAATGTGAGGCCCCCAAGATATGTTTGTTGGTTTAGATTCGCCCCAGTAACTAGTTCGTTATAAATACCATAAACCATAGTTATTGGAGTTATAAACCAACTTAGCTATCTTGGGGGCCTCACATTGTATGATTTTGTGGCACATTTAGATGACGGAGCTGATATTTGGAGATCCGAAACTTTCAATGAGTTATCTCGTCTGCAAAATCCTAGTGCTTCAGGTCGAACTGCATTCAGGTTTTAAGGTGGCCTGCTGGTTTACACACATGTATGTATAAACATAGATAATTACTGTATCAGAATTGTATTTACACAGATATACTTGTATTTCAACATATGTAATGTATTGTAATGTAATGTAATGTAATGTTAATGTGCAATGCAATGCAATGTAATGCAGCGTAAAGTAGAACAATGTAATCTAATGCAATGTAATCTAATGCAATGCAAATATGGCATGGTATGCTACGGTATGGTATAGTGTGTATATATATGTATACAAATACACCCCCCCCTTAAGTCCATTTTTTGTGAATTTTGAACCATTGCCATACCAATTCTGTGATCCATTCTGTTGAAGGTCTTGATTGAAAATTCTCCGCAATGCCAAAACCAGTTGTTACTAATCATGATATTACTGAAGATCTGCTCATGTTTCTAGAAAAAATCCTGACGCTTACTCTAGTAACTTGATTTTATCTATACTCTGAACCCATTGTACAAATATGTAGTCTAGTACAAGGTACTATAATATAGTTCCCACTCATAAACCCATTCTGGTTCTTAAAACTTATAATTACTAATATTGTACCGTTTATACACCACCGAAAAACTGTTTCGAACCATCCAGGCTTACTATTCATCATTTATCATATCGCCGATAACTTACTCATATTTATTAAACAACCTCAGATGTACTTGTACTGTAGTATTGACTATATTGATAGGCCGAAAGCCATTTTGAAAATTTGAATCATCCATCAAGTAATACTAACAAATCCTGATCGCCAGCCCATAGTTAAAGTTTTATCAGGTATTTTCTAATCACAAATACCCACAGTAGAAACATCCATCAGGTGCAGTTGCTCTGTAAACCATTTATGTCAATACCTATAGGAATACGATAAACCCATAGGGTAAATTTTTATCATCATCATTTTCAGTCATTTTGAAGCATCGGATTTCATCCATCAGGTCCAGCTCTTCTGCACTTGTAGGAATATTGGTGAATCAATCAGGTGCAGTTGTTCAATCATTGCTCGCACATATTAAGGCATCATATTCACAACTACTGATTGTCGTTTTTTTCTTTGAACGCTATATATATATATGTATATAAATAGTTAAGCATCTATTTCTGTTTCCTGTTGATGAGTCCATTTCCTGTTTCTATTTCATCATGTATTTTCCAATCATACATACCCACAGTAGAAACATCCAGGTTCAGTTGTTCTGTAATTTTAGGACTATTCAGAAACATTAATCTATCATCTATGCCTATTTCTACCTGTTTCTTTATAACTATTTTCAGCCATAGTCATAAGATTTTTCTTAACTGGGGCACTCTAAAATTTTAAAACCATCCCAGGTGCAGTTGTTCTGCGGCTACCTGACCACGATTTTGGCCCTGTGGCTGGTGCCGATGCTCTCCGCCGCCTGGTCCTGGCGCTGGTCCCTGGCATCGCTGAGTTTGGGCCCGGCGCTGAGCGTCCTGGCGCTGCTGCTGTTGCGACCACGGGCCAAGGATGTCGACAAGGTTCGTGGGGAGACCTTGGTGATGGGGTTAAGAATGGTTAAAAGGTATGGAATCATGGTGTTTAGTAGGATTGTACCATTTAGATCCATGTAGATCCATTTAGATCCATTTATATCCATTTGTGATCGTTGTGATCGTTGTGATCGTTGGGATTTTTTGGAATTTTCCGGGTTTTGAGCTGGTAAATCAGTTTTTTGTTGGTGGTCGAAGAACGGTGAAGGCCCCCTGAATGGAGATGTTTATAGAGGAAAAATAAGGAAGCATGTTCTAGGCCAACCAGAAATTCATCAGTAAATACAGCAAATACAGTTATATAGAATTGCTGTTCACCTATTGATGATTGACCATTGGGTTATAAGCCTATCATCAAAAAGTGTTCAGATTTGTGGGGAGATTCATCGCAAAATATGGCCAACAGAGGTCCACTTGTGGAGTTTCTCCATATTTGTTCTGCCAGACATAATTGAAACGGTGGTTGAGTTGTGGTTGACCCCTTGCAAAACCCCCAAACTCTGGGAACCTTCAAACTTGATGAGGGTTTTATCGATGTTCACCATTGGTCACGACCTTCAACCTGCCTAATTGACCATATTTGACCGCTAACTGACCGCAGGGCAGCATCAAAGGACCCGCATCTAGTGATGCTCCATGAGTTGTGAGCCATTGCTGACGAGAGTTGCGCCGCAAAGGGTGTACAGAACGGCGTTTCAAGATGTGGCTGTGGCAGGTGTGGGTCAAAAACTCATCCACCAAAGAACCAAAATGGATGGTTCGATGTGGTTTGATACCAAAATGAACTACCCTCTGGTAAACTAACATAGCTATGGAAAATCACCATGTTTAATGGGAAAACTCACTATAAATGGCCATTTTCAATAGCTATGAAGGCCATTTCATTGCAATCAGGGTAGATTTCATTGCAATCAGGTTTGAACCCAATGTGTTAACCTGGGCAACCATAGTTGGGGCACTTAATTATCACTGCACAGCCAAAGGTGTCACATTTTTTCCATCTTGCTCGCACCTGTTGCCATGTTTGTTCATACCGCCTCCAGCTGGGCTGTGGCCCTGATTGGCCCCCAAAGCAAAACGATTGAATGGTTATTTTAAAGTTAGTGACTTTTGAGTGATTGGGTTTCAACACCAGGTCATTGCCATTCTATGCCCAGTGAAGATCACCCAATCATTGTAGGTGATGCTAGACGCATGCTCTTTCAAAGCAGTCGCACCACCCCACCCTCCGGCATCTCGATGTCAGTGGCCGGAAAATACAACGGCTTACCTTAGGTTCTCATGTCATGCTGGGTGGAAAATTCAAATCCTTTTTTTGGAAGGTGCATATATCATGAGGCATGATGCATGCCCCCAAAACTCAAAACAGTTCAAGTTTAGCCAACACCAGCTAGTGTCGACAAGCGTCGCGGGGAAATCTCCTTAGCGTGCCAGCCAGCCAGCCAGGGTCTCAGCCTTTAATCAGGGACCAGGGACATGTGTAACCTATGTCAAGTATGGTACGATGATGATGCCAAGGGGCATTGCTGGGCTTGTCGTACATGACTCGCCAAACTTTCACAAGCAGTCGGCTCGCATCCAATTCCTTGGGCCAAGTGTTTGTGATTACATAATGGTACCCAATGGTCTTGAGAAAATCTTGGTGCTATCTTTCTGATTTTTTGGTGGGGTGTAAACAGGAGCTAAGTGTCTTCACCAGTGAAAGCCGAAGCAATGTTGGTGTACTTGTAGTTCCCACCAGCTACTGCAGAGTATTGGAAATAGATTGGTGTGGCCTTTGGTTTGATCAAGTAGCGCTGCGAACCAGTCTGACCTAGGTACCATTGATATGGAGCGGGGATCGGAAATATCAAAAAATGGTTGGTGCATACATTTGAATTTCCATTACGATGGGGGAACTTAGTTGGATACCTGCATCATCCATGACTGGAGCGTGCAGCTCGTGCAAATTGATGGTTGGATCTGTCACCTTGTTTTCCTCCATCTCGGCCAGCAACTCTGCCCAAGTGCACCTCTCGCTGTCCGAGGTCGACTTGGAATTCTCATCGTCAGGAACCTCCAGGACGACGCTCTGGTTTTCACTGGTCCACTGGCAGGTCATCACTCGGGAGACTTCATCTGGCATGATGGCAGCCAAGGAATGAGAGATAAAATTGGGATGTGTATTACTGTGTTTTGAGTATGGGTGAAAAAGAAGATATTGGGACCCAGAATTTGATCCAAGACCGGTAAATCATTATTTTTTGGTGGTGTTAGCTCAACAATTCTGAACCATACCTATATCATTATAAAAGTTTAGTGGATACCAAATACCCAGACCACATAATTTGGTATATTCCCCTTGTAAACCACCAGGTGCTGATGAAACTTGCCAATCAAATATGTATCAAGCACCGATGAACATGCCAAGAAAATCATCCTGGCACACATGTATTTTTCCCAAGATCGCGGTTTGTCCATGGAGCACAAGACACCTTTCCCCTGATGTCGTGCAAAGCTAGTCTCAAAAGCCATCTGGATATGTCTAAATCCAGTTTCAGCATAGTATGGATTGGCCAAGCTGTTTCTTGGCAAGTTCTTAACCAAAATAAGATCAAAATGATCCATTCGGTCCCTCAACATCCTATAGATTGGAGCTGTTCACTCATCCGACTCATGGCCATCTTCGCGGCCATCTGCGGAGGAGAGATCATCAGCTTCTGGGGCACCAGCATCCTCCTGCTCTTCCTGGTCAGGACTGGAGGGCTGGGATTCGGCATCGGCATGGGGTTCGGCATCATGGGGCTCGGCATCATCGCTTTCTGCATCATGGGGTTCGGCATCATGGGGCTCGGCATCATTGCTTTCGGCATCATGGGGTTCGGCATCATCGGGCTCGGCATCATGGGGTTCTCCATGGGATCCGACAGAGGGTCGAAGGGGCTTGGTCAACCTTCGACGGCTCAGCTCGCTGTGGGTCATGTTCTTCATGGAGTTCACCCTTGTAGGATGGACTTTCCACCTGGGCCGGAATTGATCTTATTAAGAGTACAAAAAGTTTTAAAGTAAGTGTTGGAGAGAATTTGCGAACTGAGAAAAACAGTTGTTTGTAAAATTGATGAACACTTATCACTTGGGGCTGCACTCAGCACGTGCCGCTTTCAGCACTTCGGTCTTGGTCCAGTCAGGGTGCTCCTGACTCAAACGCTGCTTAGCGCTTGTGATGTGGTTCCAGTAGTCGTCCCGCAAGCCAACTCGGCCACTGGTTCCGGGCTTTGCCTCCCAAACACACATAAAGGGATTGATTCAGGCAGTTCCAGATTGAAATGCTAAGGATTCATTTGAACCCCCAAAGGTGTTAAAGGAGATATGTCAAATTTGTAAACTGATCAATGGTCAAGCTGGAGATTCTGGTTCTTGATCAAAGTTTTGGATAGTGAGTGTCACCCTGCCTTGTCTGCCCCTGTCTCTGCCTTGCGTGTGTTTCGCTTTGCTCTGGGTCGTCTGGGCTTCTTTCTGTTCCCTGCATCATCCTCATCATCCGAATCATCGCCTTTGTCATCACCTTTCTTCTTATCATCCTCCTGCTTTCTCTGGTTCTTCTTGTTCTTCAGGTATTTCTGCATCTTCGTTGATGGACGTCTGGGCTCTTCGGCGTCCTCCTCTTCCTGATCCATCTCATCTGCACTCTTCTCATCTTTGCTCTCCTTGTCCTTCTCATCGGTCTGCAAAGTCTTTGCCTTTTTCTTGTGGCTGCCCTTCTCCTCATAGACCTCCTTTCTGATCTTCTTTACTTTCTTCTCCTCAGCTTCGCCTTCGTCGGAATCTCCTTTCTTGCTGCCTTTGCTGTCTGTCTCCTTCTGCGGCTGATCTTTCTCTGGCTTGTCCTTTTCCTTCTTGTCTTTGGTCTTCTTCTTTTCATCCGTCTGGTGTTTGTCAGGGTCCTGGCTACACCCAGGATCTGTGATCTCTGTCCCCTGTGAGTACGATCCATTCTCGTTGACCTCCTGGTTCATCGCATCTTCACCTGCACTCTTCTCATCTTTGCTCTCCTTGTCCTTCTCGTCGGTCTGCAAAGTCTTTGCCTTTTTCTTGTGGCTGCCCTTCTCCTCATAGACCTCCTTTCTGACCTTCTTGACTTTCTTCTCCTCAGCTTCGCCTTCGTCGGAATCTCCTTTCTTTCTGCCTGTCTTCTTCTCCGGCTGATCTTTCTCTGGCTTCTCCTTTTCCGCACGGATCTTCTTAGTCTTTCCAGCATCAAACTTTGTAGAGTTCTTCTCATCAACCTGGTCATCCTTCTCGTTCTCCTGGGTCTTTTCCTTTGCTGCTCTCCTGTTTTTCTCGCCCTTCTCATCGGCTTTCTCTCCTTCCTCCTTGGGGTTCTTCTTTGTGGGCTTTGCTAGCTCTTCTGCATTTGTCTGGTTCTTGTCGCCCTTCTTGATCTTCACCTCCTTCTCAGTCTTACCCTTTGCCTTTGTGGTGCTACTGGTGTCACAAGCCCCTGCTGACCCCAAGGCCTTAGCAACTGCGATCTTTCGCTTTTCTTCTGCGGAAAGTTCTGCAGTTTCACTTTTCTTGGTTTGCTTCGTCGTTTTCTTTGCCTTTGGCTTTTTGGTCTTTTGGGTGTTCTTCTCAGGAGATTCTGGCTTTTCGGTTCTGTTGCCCTTCGCTGGAGGCTGGTCCTGGAGTGGAAGGGATGGCATGTGAGACGTGAAACTGGCAGGGAGAGTATACAATGGCTCATTTGAAATCTTTTTGATAGTCATACTTTTGCTCTCTCAAAATCTTGAACGGAGATCCAAGTCGGTTTCCCTTAGAAACTGGTGGAAACAAGTGGAACATTTCTCATACATTACCTGAGGAAAAGTGAGGTACATGACACGCACAGGGCAGGGGGGCCTCATCATCCTCAGATTCCGCTGGCAAACCTTGGCTTGAAAGAGGCTCTTCCGAGTCCAATGTGTCGGACTCTTCTTCGGAATCATTCTTTTGACTTTTCTTTCCTGAATTGGCCTTCGCCTTAGCTTTCGCCTTCTTTGCTGCCATTTTTGGTGCTGCCTTTTCTTTGTTTTGCTTTTCCGTTTTCCTCTATGCCTTCTGCCCTGTTTTTACATCTTTGATTGCCTGCGCGAGTTCTTCCATTTTCTCCTTTGACATTGGAGGGTCAGTGCTGCGAGTGCAAGAGCTGACTGTCATGGGCACAGTCGGTTTCTCTGTCTTTGGTTCAGCTGGTGTTTCAGCAGGCACATCTTTGGGTTTTTCTCCGGTAGCTACCCGAACTGCTTCTTCTGACCCCCCAACTGCTGACCCAAAGTCCAATTTGATCCTTAAGGGATCTTTGGAAGCGGAACTGGCCCCAACATCTTGAGCTGGAACACGTGACTTTCTTGGTTCTTTCTCACGTGACAGCTTTTCTGCCTATCAAACCAGCAGAAATGTCAGTAAAAAAAAAATACACGCTGACTGACAGCTAAAATTGGTAGTTACATAATTTAGCAAGCTATGTTTGGAGAACACGCCGCCAGGCCTGGGCAGCTTGGGCAGACTGCTGTGAATCTGCTGGAGGCAGCCCATTCGATCCCTTGGAGTGGCTTGTCCAAGGAGTGGAGCGGGCGGACGTATTGCAAATAGATGACGTAGGGTCAACCCATTAGTAACCCACCCCAAGCAAAAGAAAATTGGAGGCTTATGTATTTCCAATCAGCCCAGATAAGCTAGTATGCTACATGTGGGGGTGGTTTATGTTTAGGCTTCCCACAGCTGGCTGTGACATAATATTGAAAAACACGATCTGGGATCCCTACACACTGTCGCATTGGAGTCGTCAATGCCCCAGGGCTTTCGTGAGCTACCCTGCTAAGATCCTCACGCCAAGAAGCTTTTGTCTGACAATAAGGGTTAGGTGGGAAATAAATTGACATTTGAATCATTTCTTTTTTTAGAAGTATCGGTCCTGGTCAAAGCCATGGGCAGCTAGTAAGGATTGTAAAGCGCCAGAACTCATGGTGGCCACCACAAGTCGCCCTTCCTATGGCCCTACAATCCCAAAGTTGTGGGACTTCTTTAAGTTTAGCAAGCCAGAGCCGAGATTTCAGCAATACACACGATGTTGTTGTTTCAATGTTTTCACCTAGCCATGTTGCAAAATGCAGCAGGACAATTCTGGAAATAGTGAATTCCCCGTTAATGGTGGGAATCCCTGAATACTGAAACAAGCCAGAAGTACCGTTTTTGTCTTGTCTCTTCAAGGCTGCGACTCGCTCGGGCTTGAGGAACTTTGAAGAACCATGTGCCACAACAAATTCCATCTTCGAAAAGACCGCCGCCACGTGCGATACCTTGTTATAGTGGAAAAACTGCCCCTTTATCAGTAGTTATAGTGGACGAACAGCCCTTTAATCATCCCATTATATATTAATTATCATATTTTTATCAACACTGATATGAAAACATTTTATGGGGCGAGCATCCAAAGGAATGATATACCAGCCTTGTTGCCACAAAAAGTTTGTACTTCTGACCCTGAATGATTTGATGGGAGCTTCCATCACGGGCTTTGCTCTGGACCAGGAACATGGTACTCCCATGATTCCTCCCCGGGAATTTGGCCTCAACGATGTACTTGTCCATCAATTCTTCAAGAGTTTCAGGTTCATTGGTCCAAGGTTCAATGACCTTGGTTGCATCTTCCTCCTCCTTTTTAACCAGGGCAAGGGCAGCCGTGGCATCAGCATTGGACTTTGGACTGTACCTTAGAAGGTGCAGGTAAAAATAAGGTGATATATTATATGTACATAATTGTATATATATAATATGTGTAAAACATATACCAGTAGTATATAATCGTAAAGATGAAATTGAGATGCCACATTTTTGGGGGAAATACAGGGGGCGGGCCCCATGTAAGAAAATAACCCGAGTAAGAACAAGGGATAAGGAAATCCAGAACCCAATGTTGGAAACACGTCTCTCGTCCCATTGGACTGATGATCACAAAATTGGTTGAATTTTTAAAAGATAACACACAAGGAAATGAATGATTCAGTCAAATGGCTTTTGATCAAAATCCTTCAAGATGTTTGACCAATCCTCCCCAAATACTTGGTCATCGATGTATCGAGCCCGCACTGCTGGGAGAATGCTGATCCGAAACTTGTTCCACCCTTTCAATGAAGGATTTGGATCATAATCAAGCTTGATCAGCTTCAAAGGATATTGGTTTGGGTCCACATCCGTGGCTGACGATGCCGGTGGCTTGGGCTCGTATGCACGCACCTGCCCAAGGTGCTTGTGATTGCCTCGCTTCCACTCCTGGCGGTATAGGACTGGTGATTGGGCCTGGAGGGATTTCCAACAAACAAACATGGGATGGGTGCTAGCCTGTTTGCTGCTTGGACCGTGTAACGATACATGACGGTGACGAAAACAAATTTATTATTACAAAACCCTTTCCCTATGAAGATAACTAAGAGTCCTCCAACAACTCACAGGCCAATGTCTTTTCCACATACTCAGCGGTAGAGATGGTCTTGGACATGGACAGGGTCTTGAACTTGATGGGAATGGTGGTTTGATCAGAGAATCTTTTGCATGCGCGTTCCACCCAACTGTCATAGGCTGTCAAATTGATCAGGACACAGGTGTCTGTCTGTTTGGGAACCTCCGTCCGCCCCAACAATGCCGAAAGTAGGCCACACGGGAGAGCCTCACCCGCCAGGAATTGTGCACATTCCTGGACATCCGACAAAGACCTGTCAGCAGTGTGGCAGCCGAGGGGACTCATGTTCATGCTCATGATCATCATCATCATCATCATCATCACCATCACCACCATCATCATCATCATCATCATCATCCTCATCATCATCATCATCATCGTCATTGTCGTCATCATCATCATCATCGTCATCGTCATCGTCATCATCATCATCATCATCATCATCATCATCATCATCATCATCATCATCACCATCGTCATCCTCATCGTCATCGTCATCATCACATGATCATCATGATCGCAATCATCATCAATCGTCATCATCATCATCATCATCATCATCATCGTCATCATCAGCATCATGAACATTGATCGTCATCATCGCTATCATCACTATCACAGGTATCATGACCACTGTCATAATCACAACCATAGTCTACACCATCCTCATCATCATCATCATCATCATTTTCTTCATCATCATCACCATCATCATCACCATCATTTTCATCATCATCAAAATATTCATCCTCACCACCATCATCTACATCAGTGTCACCACCATCACCATCTTCATCTACATCACCATCACCACCATAGCCATCATCACGATCATCCATCACAATCATGATGATCAATATCATCATCACCATCATCACCACCATCATATCATCCTCATAATCATGGTCGCATCAGAACCACCTTCAGAACCTGTATCGAACCCATGATGGAACCAAACCCTAGTTCATATCATGCGTGCAACATATAGAATATTCTGTTGTGATGCCGTTTCAAACATATAGTTCAATCAGCTGGGTATTATATCGCGAAGAAATGGAAAATATATATGTTCCCATCTATTCACTTTGATCATAAATCACGATCACATCAGATTAATCAACATCAAGACCACAACCACCAAGATTGGATAGGTACCTGATGGCCCTGTCAAAATAACACATGAACCGTTTCCGACTAATTTGTGGGCAATTTGGGTAAACACCCCCAGAGTAAAACCTGTGAGGCCCAGGTTAAGATAATTTTTTGGCGAACTAAAAGGCATCCGGTTCCAACCCTGAAGCCTCATTCCCTCGGAGGCATGGGGCAAGTTGTCTTTCTGGGCCACCGGTACAACGTATTGACCTTCCGGCGTCCAAGGAATTTCATTTCTGTTCGACCTGCCAGTGGCCGCTTCAGGACTTCAACCAGTGCTGGGCGTGTTGAACGGGAAACCATGAACTTCATTCAAATTTTAATATAGTGCCAACCAGGTAAGAGTGAACCAGATAATTTTCAATCCATCTACCCGGGCACGCTATGGCCTGTCTTGGATCAATTGGGATGGGGACCACACATTGTCTCCAGCTGTAAGATCCATCATCACAACCCACCCATCAAAATGGAGGGGAACTTTGCGTCTTCCATTCGGTGGCTGGCAGCGAATGGCGATGCTGTGCTGCTTGAATCCTCGGGCGTCCATTTTGTCCTCCCATCTCCTCGCAGGAAGTGAGATGCTGGAACTTGCAGGAGCTGGGCCGTTGACGGTGGCACATACTGACACCTTAAGGGGCCAACTATATTATGAAAATAATAGGGGAACATCAACAGGGAAAAAATAGATTCAGAACAAAATGGAAATAACCAGTAGCCTGAAATGTGCGGATACTAACATCCCAAAGGTCCTCAATTCTCCCCTGTAGCCAGCCACTTTCTCGGAGACCAAGTAAGGTGCGACCAGCACTGCCACTGACATAGGACTCTTTTTGAAGATTGAATGCATCAGGTCACAGTAGTCGTTGACTTCTTGCTGCGTCAAGCGGCCGCACTTCATCAAGTCGCACCAAACCACACAAGGGTATTGAGGAAATCGAGTCAAGAACTGCAGGGGAGAGCAACGGAGTTTCTTTTTTGGGATTGAACATCATGATAAGTCAAAAGTAGTCCAAAAGAAACTGAATAAGACATCTCAATTTTCCAACGTTGTTCAACAAGTCAACACGTTGACTGACTTGTATTTGATAATCCCCAGCCCGGTCAGCGAGGGAGATCTGTTCCTTGAGGGACCCAGCATGGACAGCCATGTTCAAGGACATGTAATCAGCCACCAAGGCTGCACCGATACAATTTTGACCCCGAAGGTGCATGATGCGTTCCTGACGAATCGAATTCTCAGACTTGACCACATCACGATAAACATTCCCCACTTGTGCCAAATCCCTGGCCAGTGCAAGAGAATCGGCTTGGAATTGTGCTTTGCGGGATTCAGCAGACAAAGCTTGGAGCTTCTGGTCCGCCTGCTCCACTTTCTCCTTGGTCGTGTCGATCTTTTTCGGTGCGACTTCTGTGAACATGATGGTCTCCTCAATCTTGAACTGAGGGTCCAAAGTCTTTACGAATGTGTCGGCCTCTGTCGTGAAGTCCCTTACTTGTTTTGAATCTCTTTGGAAAAACGAATTTAGACCAGTGAGCATCAAATTTTAGTTGGACCACCCTACCCTGAAACTACCACATAAAACAAGATTCCCCTCCACAGCACGCTTGAGAAGATTCTCAATGACACCATTGTCAAACACATAGGTGCCGTGCTCATCCTTCCAATAAGCCATCAACGCCAAGACGTGGGAAACGAAACACATCCGATCGCACTCAGTGAGCCATTCGGTCAAGGGCAAACGGACGGAACATGCCTTGCCGGCCCGCCTGCATGCCACATCATGTAGAAACAAGATGCGTTTGACAAACAGTTCTTGTTTGAGGAAGTCCACCGTCAGCACTTGGCACCATATGTGGCAAGTTCTGGCTCCAGCATCACGGGGCTGCCCACCAAGCAGCCATCGATCATCTAAAAGCAAGACGTTGCTGAAGGCTGCAGGGGGTCAGAATATATGCCAGAAGAATGCATTTTGGTGGGGATCACTCGAAGAAAGCATGATTCTCCCTAGCCCCGCTATGCCGTTCTGTTGTGAAATTGAATTATTTGGGACAAGAAAAATCGGGTAAATAACCATTACATACTACATTCTTTTAAGTGTTTTTTAGATAAACCCGGTTCGTAATTCCACCAGCCTGACGCTTCAAACTTGAAGCAGTGCAAGTGCTTCTGGAGGAGCTCAAATGCTTTCTCGCAGACACCAACCTGAGCAACTCAGGGTGGAGGGGTGCGAGAAGGGGTAACGGAAATCATCCGCAATAACTTTATCTTTGATTGCACTATGGAGTTGATGGATCAAGTTGCCCCAAAATGTTTGGCGGATGGGTTTGAAATGGGGTTGTCTCAAATAGGGCAGGGCCCAGAACTCATAAGTTCAGGCTCACTTTCTAAGGTTTCGGCACCCTTTTTTTGTTTGTTTGGGGGGTGGTTGCAGAATAGACTTTGGAATGTTTGTTTGGTGACACAAGTTACTTGGTCCAATTTTTCTTAACACCAAGCTACCTTGAACCCATAAAGTTCATCCATGGCAGTTTTGTCCAGTCGGTAGCGGGAGCTGACCTCAGCAATGCCATACTGGTTGTACTCTTCCATCGCAGCAAAGAACGCATCCTTGTACTTTGACTCCGGGTACTTGACGGTGTCCTCATGGTTTTGAATTTTGATAATTGTCTGATAGAAGATGGAACCACGGAACCGTGTGAAATTATCTTGAAAATGTTTCAAATTTCGAGCCCATATCCTCACATTGGAGTTCCCGGGCTCTGGCCGCAAAAGTCAATACCTTCTGTAGGATGTTCTTCCGTTGCCTTTCACTTTGTTGTTCATGCACCTGGATCCTGCGCCACCTCAGCTCCGCGACCCCTGCAGACTGGACCTTGCACTTGAGGGACTTCACAGAGTGGAGCCACCTGGCAAGAATTTGGCCGGGTTTGGCAGGATTGATGTGGAAGCCACTAGACCCCCCAATGCATAAAAGGATCACTTACCAAAATGGGAAAGAAGCAAGATCCTAAGACGACGGTCCCACCCGGACCATCACGTAAGCTTGGCCCTGGGGAACCCTAGACCCAGCTCCCAAAATAGCTCGGAACATGAATGGGCACCCCCAAAATATAGATTAGACAGCCGCAAAATAGCTAAAGTATGCCCAAAATAGTTGGGAGCACTCCCAAAATAGTAATAACCATGTCCAGGGACCTGGTCCAAGACGACGGTCCCACCCGGACCATCACGTAAGAAAATTGGATTTGTGCTGTGATCCAAAGTGACCCTTTCATCCCTTCAAGCTATTTTGGGAACTATTTTGGGGATTATTTTAGGAACTATTTTGGGGACTGACTATTCTGGGGACTATTTTGGAACTATTTTGGGAACTATTTTGGGGATTATTTTGGGAACTATTTTGGGGACTATTCTGGGGACTATTTTGGAACTATTTTGGGAACTATTTTGGGGATTATTTTGGGTACTATTTTGGCCACTATTTTGGGAACAGTTTGTCTACTATTTAACTATATTTGGGAGCTATGTCTTGGTAACTACTTAAGAGCCATATTGACCTATGATGGGAACTTTATTGAACTATGTTGGGAGTTGTCATTTAACTATTTTGGGAACTGTTTTGAGCAATTTTTAGACCTATCTTGGGAAGACAATAACTATGATGGGCCTGGGGCTTCAATTTTTTAAAGACACCAAGCCAGGCCTGATGAAATCCGACTTGGCATCTCCATCCATGGAATCCCTGTTGAAATAGCTCCAAAGAACTGCCCACAAGATGCAGGAGACACGCCCCAGACCTTTCGTGGGAATAAAGGAACGGAATCCATGGTCCACCAGGTCCACCCGGTCATTCAACCGAATCTCAAGAATTTCACGATGGCCTTCATAGCCACGGTGCCACACATCCTTTGCAGTGACTAGCCACGCATGAAAGAGAGGAAGACCATCTGCCGGGGGTAGAAAATAGATGGCCAAGAGAGGAATATCCACCAAATCGTCCGTCTTCTCCTATAGTGGTTGAAGCGAGGAATAGACTGACAAAACAAATGTTGAACGAAATGTTCATGTGGTTTTGGGGTCCAATATAAAATTTAGCATCAAATATGACAGTGGGCTGGCATCTGGAACTGTCTAGGATCAGGAAAACCAGGGATAAGATGCTCGAGCCACTCTTGGATGGGTAGGTAGAGCTGTGGTGTCAAATCATCCACCAGCATCTGAACAGGATGTTCGCCTCCCTCAACATCGAAAGTCCTAAGAGAATTTGGATAGCCCCAACAATAGCTGATCGTTGGTTACTTTCTTCAAATAAAAGATCAACAACTCACAGCTGATTCTAGTTATGTTCAAAAGGTCCACAACTGAGTAAATACTGAGTGGCTTGGCTGGTCAAAAGTCTTGGAAGCCCACACTGCAACCACATTTGTCTTCACACTTTTGGTGGCAGGCCCATTGCCAGCCCCCGCACGTTTGGGCATCGCGCAAGACCTGCCCCTTGCAGGAATGCACAACGCCTGAAAGCCGAAACCTGCGGACAAGGCCCTGTGAACTGGATGGTCAAGGGCTGGCTCACTAACTATATATTATAATATATATATATACATATAAAATATATATAATATATATAATATAATATATATTATATATATTAATATACTATTTTAATATATATATATTAACATAATATATAAATATTATATATTATCTTTATATAAAATAAATAAGAGAGATATTCTATACATATGACATATATATTATAAGCATAATAAGCATTCTCTGTGGTGAAGTGTCAGTTGGAAGCCTAGCTAAGCGATCTTTGTCTCAGGCGCCAAGTGAACATTGTTCTGAATTGCAAAGCCCAAGCTCGAACATAGATGTGACAAAAATGATCAAACATGTGTATTTTTTGGTTCTTGGATTATCCCAAAAACATTCTTGGGTGAGCATTGGACATTTAAACCATCATAAACACGAATTAGGCTGACCGGTTTCTCAGATTGCCTCCAAGGTGAGGCATGCAGCCAATAACATAGCTCCTATGCAAGTAGCATTCATGCTGTTTCCGGCCATTCTGGCACGTTGGGTTTTTGGGATCCCTTGCAAACATAAAGGCGGTGCGCCACACAAGCGACCCTGTTCAGCGGTCACTGGCAGGATGTGAGACGACAGCAGTTCCTCGGGCTCCAGAAATCGTTTGGCATCCTGAGGCCGGAGAAGGTTGACAAGTCCTAGTGGGTAAAATGAAGGTCACTTGTATCTACCTAGGAACTGATTTATGTGAAGTGAGATTTGTGTCAAACTGTTTCAAAACGAGACCCTTTGATCCCAAGATCCCAAGCCACTAACTGTCCTTGGAAAAAAGTTTTGTCGACGTGGTGATGGTACAAAGACTCTTGTCGGAGCATTCCCCTCTACCCCTGCCATTCCTAGGGTACTGGGAAAAGTCTGGGAAGCGCAAGTCGGGCATGTGCTCATCATAGTCCCCCAGAATCCTTTCCTAAGCGCATGAAAGATTGAAGGTATTGAAGCTCTGATTCAAATTCTGAACAGCTGACATCATTTGAGAATTATTGGATTAATTTCTATTTTGGTGTCAGGATACCTGGGCTGGAGAAAGCATACTGGGAAGGCATTTCATCCATAGGAACATGTCGGCAGAAGAAACATTCTGGGCAATCAAGGCCTCCAGGATATCGGCTAATGTCCTTGGGTGCAATTTTAAAATGTTTGCATTCCAATGATATTGGAATAAAATTAAGTGATCGTGTTTCACAAAGTGGCCAGTGCTACCCAAAGACACACCCTCGACACGCCTCACCTTCCTCTTGTCGAAGGCAAGGATGAATCTCCGTGGACGAGATGCTGGAACTCCGAAGAGTCTCGGATCCAATACCACCGATTCCAAAGACCAGTGGGGCCCTAGTTCAGCAGAAGCTGTAGCACTTTGATACTCTGGGACATTCTCAATGACAAGTATGTCAGAAACTCGTTTGGTTTCCCGGTAATACTTTTTGTGGGTTACATATCTCTCATCATTGATTCCGTTCTGGTTGCCCATCTTGCTGAAGGGCTGGCAAATTGGGCCTCGAAGGAATTTGAAATGACGAGCTTTTTTGTTTGATTCACTGTTCAATCTTTTGGTTAGACTGCATTGGCCCTTGGCTGAGGAATGCACCAGCTCCGTTCACCCTCAATCCTTGGCGCGGTTGGAGTGGTTTGGGACCCGGATCAAAAACACAATGGGAAAGTCGTTCTGACATAATCCAAAATGGGAGTGAGTATTAGTACAACTTGAGACTGAAATCTTGAAATCGAGATTCGGTTTCCTCGACGATGTTTTTGTACTTGGCACATCCGCTTGTGTGTGCTGCACCACTGAAACTTTTTCTTTGTGTCCAAAGCTACGATGTCTGGGAAATTGCATGGTGCATTGTAAGTCTGCTGTAGCACCTTCCTACAGTGACCATCCAACTCACATGTGAACTCAAAGAGAACTTTGGCGTGCTTTGGTTTCTTGTGCCCAGCTGACTGAAGAAACTGGCCAGCAGCCTTCTCCAAGCTCATGGCAGCCTCAACATTCAAAAACTAAGTTGTGATGCTGTGAAACTTTTGGTGTGTAGGTAATGAAGAATCGATTGAGCGCTGCAACATGTTACAATGCGCTACAACTAGGATAGGGACAGATTCCGGTGCTCCGATGCCAGAAAAAGCGCTGGCAAAGGTCCACCGCCAAGCCTTCAGCCTCTTACACAACCATTATGTTCCAAAACGGGTCGCCACACGTTGAAAGAAGATCTTTGGCCACTGAAATGCAGCATCCAAGGTTTCAAACCCAACTGGGTGCTGCTCTGATGCCCCTAGGATGGTAGCTTTCGGATAACGCTTGCGCCTGGCAAGTCTGGTAGCAAGATCAAAAATAGGGTTGTACGAGTTGTATGCCGAAACGATTTGAAATCTGTTAGCTGTGTTTACCTGGTAGTAAAGGAGCCCAGAAAAATTCAACTCAGTCTCGGCCTCGAAGAAGCCTTCTTCTCTTTGAGATTGGCCTTCATGACAGTCTTGATGGCTTTCCCACGCCTGGAATCAAAGCTATGTGGGTATATTATAGATTATACTTGTCTGAAAGCATATTGATGATGATTGAACTTCTCAATCCAGTGGTCCAGTGATTACATAATATTTATATGTCATACAACTACAGGGATTCCCAACCTTCCTCTTTTCTGTGGAGCGACATCTCCATGCAAACGGCTCCCTCTCCTGCACGCGTGTCCATACATTGCCTGAACCCGCTTTCCGTTTTCTTAAATCAATTAACTGACCAGTTCAGTGCATGTTGGCTCCTCAAAGATGTGTTGGCAACAGCAGCGCGCACCGCATGCCTAAGGTCCAAGGGCATCCCTGGACAAAGCCCGACTCGGTGCCAATCTGGGCTGAGCTGGGTGGAGCGGCGAAGGGTTGCAACAAAAATTCAATGAGAGAAATCTTGTTTTCAAACCATTTCATGTTTTGTCATATTTCAACTCTCGATGTAGCTCTGTGTTCTCTGCTTTCTTGGCTGTGGTGTGAAACAGTACGTCCCAATCATCATGTTTTCACACTCACCAGACGCTCAGAATAGAGCCAGCAATATTTTGAGACTTGCCCACTGCACGTTCCCATCAGGACTAGCGTCGAATCCTGAACCCCTGCGTTTGACAAATCTATTTTCAACCAAATTTCAAATCTAATTGGAACCACCGGAAGGCTCAGAGATCCTGGCTCTTTTAGCCAGCGGCCTGGCCACTGGCAATGCCTGGCACACAGCGGGGATGTCGGTCGTTGGTCATGGGGGAGGCTCAGATCAATACTTGAACCTTTTTCTCCTCACTTAGTAGCCAGTTTTTTCAATGGGGCTTCACATCTGAACCCTGCCTCACTGTCATCTCGCTCATGGCAGCCGAGCTGGAATTTCACGGTCTGATGAGAACAGTTCAATGTAGATGGTTGTCAAACAGTTTCAAAGTAGCATGGCTAATACTTGGCTGGTCCAAAGATTTTCAAAGTTCGACATTTGGAATCAGATCCTGCCTCCGGCAAGTGGTTCGACTCTTCACAGTTCTTCAAGAAAAAAACTTTGTGGTCCTGAGGCACCTGGGTTTCCTCAGAATCACACGCGTAGTGTGAACCATCCAAGTTTGGGACCACAGCTGACCCCGCTGGTGATTTGCTGCTGTTAATGACCTGCCCATGAACATAGGCAAGGTTGGTTCTATAACTATTTGTTATTTGCATGGTTTACCAATTACCACCTAGATTCACAGCACTGTGCAAAATACATGCTGTTAGGCCTGTTCAGCCACTTCATGTTTCTTCCCCATCACCTGGCTTGAGAAAGAACCATTCTGAGATATAAAAACCTATGAAAGAGGGTGATTCACAGACATGCCTCTTCCAAGTACTGTCGTATCCTCCAAGGTTCGGCCTCCAAAGCTGAGAGGGGCCCCAGGGCTCAGTGACAGACTGGGCAAGGTTGAGTGATGAGTTGGCACCATCCAAATCTTGCCTGGGAATCTTCCAACAAGAAGGGATTGGGGATGTCCTGGGAGAAAATGCCAGTGAGTGATTTCGGCCCGTAAGAATACAACTTGGAGTAACATTGACATATAGGTTAGACCAAAATGAGCCATTTTTGACTTGAGAGTCTGACCTTTGGAGTTTCAGGATAAGGTTCACCGTCCCAGTAGCGGTTAGTCCCATTGTTCTCCTCTGACTTGACCTGGTGAGGTTCACACATGTTGCAAGCCACATCAAATATATGAACTGGAAATCCTGAAAGTCAGCATGCTACTAAGAAAACGGTGGCCTCGGCATCAGAGTCAATGTAAGTTGGAGAAGGGGCCTGGCCCAGGCACTGATCTGAAACCACAATACTTAATCAACAATAAGCAAAACAAACTAGGGTCACCTCCTTGGCTTCAGGAAAATCACAGTCAAGCACTTGAGATTGGTAACTCTCGAAAGACTCCTCCAAAATACGATTCAGAGCAAGCTGCTAAGTATAGAGATCTTAATCAAACTGGCAGTATCTCCTGGATAGCCCGGGGCCTCAAAACATCATCATCCAACACCTGACAAGCTTCTAAAAGATTAAGATGTTCAACCTGCCCCTGTTTTAGGCAAGAACCGGATGCACCTTCGCATTCATACGCCTCAAGGCGCTCTGTGCTGGGATGATTATGGTTTTTTTGTTTGTCCAGGGGTGGTGACATGCAAGGTCTGATGGTTTTGGGCCTCAATAGTCGTAGTCGATCATCTCCATGGGGGTACAGCGACTTGGAAGAGGACATTTTGTTTGGGACACCGCTGCTATGACACCAAAAAGGCTTCAGAACACATTGTCATACAGGATTCAGGAGAAATAAGGCATTACCAAGTATTCCCATGCTATGCCATTCGGCATCCAATCTTGGCGTATGGTGGGGGCACGGATATTTTTTGCACCCTCACGGCCTGCGCTGCAACATGGCTTCAAACCTTATGGTTGGTGCCACCCTTGCAAGACCCGGATTGGCCGGTATCACAACCAAATCTTGTTGACCTGGTGTTGAATAAAAAGGTATGGGCGCCAATGGTCCTGGGTTTCTGTTTCGACAGAGATCCACTAAAAACTCAATGGAGCGTCCACTTGTGCTAGATGGGAATCGTCTAAGTAAAATGTCAGCCAATTCCAAATACTTCTTTCCTTTGCCTGGGTCGACCTTCTTCAAAGGTCTGGCAGAGTCCGGGGCGGAGTGAAGAATAGGCTGGACGAATTGAAACGGCATGGCGAGTATCGCTTCCTCAGAGAAAACGGGAACCCTCAAAGCTCACAATATTTTAATAGGCCTTACAGATCTTAAACAAGTGACTGAGACTAACTAAGATTCTTAAAGGAATTGGTTCCAGCAACAAGCCAGGATTGGAACGGTGTCACTGCATGAATTGTATCGAGGTTCCTGTCCCAAGTGCGTGTCTGCGGCATTTTTCTTGACAAATGCGATGACGTCCATATCATGAGGAATCAAAGGTCCATGTCGGTCGTCATATTTGATCACAATATTCCGTGGAACATCTTGCAGGGTTGTCCCAAAACAAATGACGAATAACTATCAGGAACATTCAAACCGTGAGGGATCCAATAGTTTGTTTTCCGAAACCAGCCTACCCTCCGAAGAAATATGAAAGCATGGTGGCCAACGGAATCCTTCTTCAGTCCTCCTCGGAAGGTCACTGGGAGATGGCGGTCCAGCCTTGGCGCGCGGCGAAATCAAACATTGAGGGTGAAAAAGAAGGGTTGTGCTGACAGAAAGATTTCTGGAGGATCAAAACCCAGAGGATTTTTTGTGTTCCTTATTTCAATCTAGGAACCATCCCTTCCAATCACGACAGGCTGACAGGAATTCGACGTTGATTTTGGCTGATGGCCCGATCCACTTCCGGATCTGGATCCTATCCAAGATCGTTTTGATCTTCCTTAGTAGGGCAGTAACCGCAAGGTGATTAGAATATTCTACCCATAGGTTTGACACATTGTGATTGCTCTATATCATCCTGTTAATTCATGGTACACCTTCATTCAACCAGGGAGTGGTTAAACATTAGGCCCATTTCTCTTGAACTTGAAACCTGTTCCCCACCTTTCTGAAAGTAGCTGCAAGTATCTGAACCAAATCTGGCACGTCGCAAATCAGATCAACATAGC